CAGCACCAGCAGCAGCAGCAGGGGAGAGGAAGACGCGCCCACCGTACCTTCCCGGGTACATAGTGGAGGGCAACCAGACGCGGCCGCTGCCGCACATTCGTGATACGCTGCACATTCTTCAGCTTCGCATCCCCGACGACTTCGCGGTGTACGGCGAGGGTCTGAGCGATGAGGCCATTATTGACGCCGGCAACGAGGCAAAGGTATGCGTGCAGAACTACCTGCGGTACCACCTCCCCAAGAACGCCAACGTCAACACGTCGGTGTACATCACCGGCTACGGCAGACAGGTGAGTGTGCACAACATCGCGTACCTCCCGCTTGTGCTGCCGACGAAGGGGAAGCACATACCGCCAGGGACGACAGGCGCGAAGAAGAAAAAGAAAAAGACGGGCAGCGGTGACAGCAACGCCGCCGCTGCCGAGACAAAACCAGGCGAAACGGTCCCACCCACGCCGGAGGTGGCGGCGGGAGAAGAGGGAGGAGGAGGAGGAGGAGAACAGGAAGAGGTGGATGCAGTAAAGGTGCCGGAACGCCTGCTGGCCGTTGGCATATCGCTCAAGAAGAAGGACGCGGAGCGGATGTGTTATTTGCACGCTGTTGACATTCTCCGCGTATTTGGGCAGGACGTTCTGACGAACTACCGTGCAGGGCTCCCACGCCGCAAGCAGCAGCAGCAGCAGCAACCACAACAACAACAAGCAGCAGCAGCAGGAGCAGCAGAAAAGCCAAACACGGAGAGTGGTGACCAGCAGAAGCAGCAGCACGGTGTGGAGTCCAGCACGCCGCAGTTGCCGAGGGCGTACATGCATAGGCTGATAAAAGAATTCATCAATAGTGGGCGGCACTACACCTCACCGAAAAAGCGTCTGCAGCCCGGCCCCTACTCCCCGTTTTGAGTGGCATGCGCTGACGCGTCTTGCGGGTGAAACGACGCGCTCTGCCTACCCCCCCCCCAACTTCGAGTGAACTCGATGGCGAGAGGGGGAGACGGGAACGCACAGTCAATGTGGGGGACAGGGAGAGAGCGAGCGAGCGAGAGAGAGAGAGGGAGGGAGAACGCAGGCGAAGAGTCACGAAAAGAAAACAGCTGTGGTTTTTTTGTTTTTTCGACGTGCATTCACATTTTCACATACCCCGCCCCCCACTGCGAAGGGGAGAGAGAGAGGAATTGAGAGACTAGTAAGCGGGATGGCATGCGCTGTGAAGATATGTTTTTTTTTT